ATTGAAAAGATGGGATTTTTTTATTTCTTATTTTTTTAACCATTGAGTGTATTCTAGAACTTTGTTTCGTTTGGCCATTCATTGGCATGAAATTGACTATAATTTCTTATTTTTCCCGAAGGGATCAAATGAATTTCATTTTGTTGAAGCATAGTTTCTTATTTTTTTTGGGAGCTGGTTTTTATACTAGATCTTATAGCTTAGTATGCAGATTATATTTGCCTTGTTTAAACTGCAGTCACTTCTTAATTATTTCTTAATTTTTCATGGTCTATGATAGGGTGTTACAAAAGAAAGGAACTTAGGAACGAGTGAAAACGATTCAAAGAATAACTTAGGAATGATGAGTAGATGTTATTCATTGTAAAGAACAATTTGCTGTATGGTTCTTTACATTACATGTGCCTTCTCCTATAGCCAACTAATTTTTTTGCGAGGCAATGACGCTAACCATCAATCTTTTTTTTTTTTTTTGGTTAAATTTTCAGCTGAAAGTGGATTCAGACTATGTTTGGTCTTCTCTAGTCCCCAAAACCACATGGTGGTAGTTTTTGAAGCTATATGACATTCTAGGTTCTTCAATTTTTGTTGGAGATTCACAATATAATCAATTATGTTTGCCTTTCATCTAGTAACACTACTTTGGAAAGAGTTTGTTCAACAATTTTGCTGGGTAGAAAATTGGCGGTTCAGTTATTTTGTGGAGCCTAGATGAGCTTAAGATTCATCCATGATAAGTTTTCAACTATCAGTTTCACATATTGTATAAATTAATATTTGGTTCGTGTTGTATTGTTATCAAGAAGTTTGTTTTATAAATTAAGTTTTAGAGGTATAGTTTTCTTTTCTTTATGTAATTTTGTTTTTAAGAACTTGATGATTGAGATGAGATGTCAATAAATTAAAATATGCATAGTGGGGACTTGGGAATGACTATTTCTACCTCAAGGTTTAAAATGAATTATAAGAAAAATGTAGTGGATGTTCCCTACCTATTTTACGTGTTGTATCTTTGTTTTCAACGTTTTGAAATGAAAATTTTTAGTCATCAAACCACTATTCTGAAGGATGGTTTTGGTTCTAATGATTGTTAAAATTGCTTCAGTCATACAAGATATGGGGAAAGAAATGAAAGTATAAAAATGCTGAAAAATTGATGTCTTTTTCTTGTATGAAAGTGGCGAGCAAAGTTTGGCTAATGTGTTCTAGAATGAAAAGAGTCGATTTTGACCATTGAGGCTTTACATTGAGAGAATTTGGTAAAAGGAGTTGAATTTTAAATATTTTACATTTAGAACCTTGCTCAACCAAAAGTTGTTACTTAGAGGTTGATACATTGACAAACAATTTAGTATATTTATACTAGTAATGAAGTTTGTTCGAACTTTATTAAATTCATCAATACAAAATAATGAAACTAGTTAAAACTACACATAGCTATTTAAAAAGACTTTATGCCGCATTGGATTATAGAGTCTCTGTTTCACTCAAAAACTAGTCGATTATGTTTTGGAACATCTTACAAGACTTGTACAAGTTAAACAAGCTGATTTGTTGAATATCTTATCTCATAATTGGAATATAACAAAATTTGAGTTATTTACCTTCATTCATAGTAAATCATAGTGTAGTTTACTCAAGAAACAGTAGTGTTGGTACTATCATGTGAACTTTGTATTGATTGTGGCATCCAAATATAGTTAAAATTGGGATTCGTTGATTTTTATAGATATGAGTGAACATAAAGTGAAATGAACATAAAATTAGTTGAAAATGATGCGTAGCCTTTTGAAAAGATAACATGTCAATTTTGGTCACAAGTCTCAATTTTACTCCAAAACTAGTCAATCCGGTTCTTAATATCCAAATCTAGTTAAAACTTTCATTCTTATAGTTTCACATGGATACGAGCGAGAATGAAGTGAAATGAACATAAAATTAGCAAAAATGATACAATACGTTTAAAATAACGACATGCCATTTTGGGTCACAGGCTCTCGATTACATTTCAAAACTAGCAACTGCTTCGAACATCATAGATAAGATGTACAAGTTGAATGATTGCACATGCTATGTTTTATATACCATACTTATTACTTTTTCCTTTATAGTCAAACTTAGTCTAGTTTTCAATCAAATATATGACGTGGCTCAATATAGTTTGAACTTTGTGTGGACTATGACATCTAAATCTAGTTAAAAATTTCATTCTTACACTTTCATGTGGATACGAGCGAGAATGAAGCAAAATGAACATGAAATTAATAAAAATGATACACATACGTTTAAAATGACCGCATGCCATTTTGGGTCACATATTCTCGATTTCACTTCGAAATTAGTAAAAACAATGTTTGGAACATTCTAGATACGTTGTACATATTGAATGATTGTATATGCTATTTATTTATACCCTAAAAGCTAACCCTGAAACAACACCCATACGTTTAAAACAATAAGATGTCATTTAAGGTCCGAACAAATAGAACTATAAAAATTTTAGGTGATAGGTCGATTTTAGTTCGAAACGTGCTATATTTTGTATACCTTTAACTGCAATCATACTTGTAAAATGATCACATGTCGTTCTAGGTAGTAGGGTCCGGATTTCACTTATACATGTTGAATGATTTCGTGTTCGATATTTTTTATACCCTATACCCTAAATGGCATCCCCACGCGTAAAATGATAATATGCTGTTTTGAGTCAAAGAGTCTCAATTTCACTCCAAAACTAGTAAAACAATGTTTAGAATATCATCCAAGATTATAAATGTTGAAAAATTAATCGACAACCACACATTTAAACCATATACCCCAAAACCTAAACCCTAAACCCTAAACGATAACCATACGTTTAAAACGATCAGATGCCATTTTGGATCACGAGATATCGATTTCACTTCAAAACTAGTAAAATAGTGTTTGAGACATCATACATGTCTTGTACACATTGAATGAGTACACATACTATGTTTTGTATACCATATTGCAACTTACATTTTTATTTATTGTCAATTGTAGTGCAATATACTTTCTAATCGATTATAGAGTGACTTGCTATAGTTTGAACTAATGTGTCGATAAAATGTAGTTAAAACATTCATCTTTAAACTTTCAAGTGGGTACGGGCGTAAATAAATCAAAACGAACACAAAATGAGTAGAAACGTCACTCATACGTTTAAAATTACCATATGCCTTTTTGAGTAACAAGGTATCGATTTCACTCCGAAACTAGTAAAACAATATTTGAAGTATCATACATGACTTGTACACATTGAGCGACTGTAGGTGCTATGTGTTGCATACCACACTTGTTACTTACGTTTTTTTTATTGTCAAGTGTCATATGGTGTAGTTTCCAACCAGATTATAGAGTGACTTGCTATAGTTTGAATCAATGTGTCGACAGTAACGTTGAAATGTAGTTGAAATTTTCATCATTAAACTTTGAAGTGGTTATGGATGTGAATAATACAAAAGAAAGACTTTTATGAGTTAAACGAACTAATTTATTAAGTATTTTAACTCATAATAAAATATAATGGAATTGGAGTTCTTTATCTTCGTTCGCAGTAAAGTCTATTTAATTTTCTTATGAAACAATATTGTTGGTCACTATCGCATGAACTTTATATGGATATTCAGGTCCAAATGTAATGAAAACTTCTATTCGCTCATTGTCATGTGTGTACGAGTGAAAATAAAGTGAATCAGATATCAAATTAGTTGAAACGGCACACAATCATTTAAAACGGTAGCGTTTTAGATTTCGGGTTCTAAATATTCAAATGTAGCAAAAACTTGCATTCATTCATTTTATATGGATACAAGTGAACATAAAGTGAAATGAATACAAAAATAATTGAAACGACACTTAACCTTTTCTTTGATATCATGCTGTTTTGGGTCACGGGGCCTTGATTTTACTCTAAAACGAGTCGATAAGATTTGAAACATTTTAGATGACTTACACAAGTTAAACAAGCCAACTTGTTAAATATCTTATCTCATAATTAGAATATAATGAAATTTACGTACTTTCGTTCATAGTTAAATCTAATACAATTCACTCATGGAACAATAGTGTTGATCATTATCGCGTGAATTTTATGCCGATACTCCGGACAAATATAATGAAAACTTCAATTATTTCATTTTCATGTGCATACAAGTGAAAATAAAGTGAAGCGGATACGAAATTAGTAGAAACGATACCCAATCATTTAAAATGGCATCATGACATTTTGGATTATAGAGTCTTGATTTCACTCCAAAATGAATCAATCATGTTTTGGAACATCATATAAGACTTACACAATTTAAACAAGCTAATTTGTGGAGTATTTTATCTCATAACTGGAATTTAAATTATTTAGCCTTTTAAAGACATCATTTTTTTTTTTTTTTAAATGACTGGGCCTTGATATCACTATAAAACGAGTCAATAACCCATAGTCTATTTCTACAAGGAAACCTAGTTGCACAATGACTTGTGCGAACCAATGAAAGCACGACACATGGGTTAGAGCTGAACGCCTATTGCCTTGTTCCACGAGAATCCTTTTCCCCTAAATACAACACACAGGTAAACGACGAGGTACGCTTTATGCTCTATTCAAAACTGTAGTTACACCTCTGCTTACCTGTATATCCCATATCCACTCCCCATAACTTGACCATCAGAATGTCCAGTCCCTGGCCCTTCTCTTGGGCCTGGTGATCTTCGTGCCTAGTGATTCGTGTTCGAGCTTACATTTACACATAATAGGCAAATACGTTGCTTAAAATCTGTTGATAGGAGCATGACTGGTAATCTGTCGATGGCACGGTTCTAACAATTTTAGAGGTGAACGTAAATGTTTATATTTAATCTCTTATCTAGTTGAATAACAATCTTTTGGGTTAAACCAATATAGTCTAGATTGAAGGAGAACTAAACAATAGCTATTGAGGACAAGCAAACAACTAATCAATTGTCAACTAAAACCAAATACATAGCTCAGGAACATATTTAGTCATACGCATCATTTTCAAAATAATCCAATGCCGCAATAATAAATAAAAATTATTCTCCCAATTCACACAGAGTTATCATGCATAAAAAAAATACATCAAAATATGACTTTCTTGTTGTCTCTCACTCCATATTCTTTATAATAGTTCTAAATAATTATCAATAGTTGCAAGTCAGCCACGATCAAGCCTGTATGTTCTTTTCCCCAACTGGGAAACCAAATAAGTCACAAAAACCGTGGCCCGAATCCGCCATCTTAGCTGTCCATTCATCCTTTTCAACGAAATAAAGAAAAAGAGACAAAACCCTTAGCTTATTGTGCTCCATCATCAGTCGTATGTACACGAATTCTTTAGAGAGGTTGGAACATTAAGTTTCTTGGGATCAATCACAATTGAACATTCGATCTTCTTGTAGAACTTCGGCTTCACTAATTTGCCCAAAACATAAGCTTTTGATCGAACGGTGAACTCCAATTTCAATGGCACCTTGAGCGTGGCTGTCCCTGTTGGCATGCTCAAACTAGCTCCACTTCCATACATCGGAATCTTGTCACCAACCACGGACACCACTACGTTTCTTTGACTCTTTCTTGATTGATAGAATTTCTTCATCTGTAAAATCCCATATCATCAACTGAATTAAAAAATCGAACACAAATGAACGAAGAGGCAATCCCATTCCACAAATTACGACACTTTAACAAAGAATTATGGGGCTTACATCTCCATTGCCAATGTTAAGCTGGGAGTAGGAGACAGCTAGAGGAGTCGATGTAACATGGACTCCGAAAAATGTAGCAGTGTTTCGGAAAGTGAATTTCACGGTGGCATTCATGGACATCATATCAGTTGAAACTCCAGTATTATCCGAACCAGCTTGAACCCCGAATCTTTCGAATGTAATGCTCTAAAAACCCAATTATAAACTCATATCAGACAAAGCATTTCACACAGAGGACAAAATCAAATCGATATGGTATACCCAAAAACTTAACCAGAATCCAGTAAAACTGATGGAAAATGCACATCGATTGTAGCAATAATGTGATCGCGATTTGCATATGTACAGAGAATAATATTTGTACATAAAATCTGGACATACTAACGAGAATGATCCAACATTTATATCATGATCAACACACAAAAATCACATAATAGATCTCTGCAATATCTTTAAGCTAAAATTTCAGGAAATTATGATCAGCTCAATAGAATTTAAGGAAGAGGCAATATCATATAAACATTCATCAATTCGAGATGAAGAACAGTCAATTGAATTGAATTATAAGCTAGAACTTTGAAATTTAGAAGAAATTAAACGAACCTTCATGGTGATCTTGGGCTTTTGAGGTTTACTAGCACCCCACAAAACCAAAGCAAAGAATGAAAACAGCACGAAGAAACCCACAACAAATGCTAGAAAATAGCATCTCCTGGGCAAACCCTTCCTTGATTCTTCATCTTCAAGTAGTCCTTCTTCTTCAATCACATCAATCTCTTTCCAATTCTTCTGCCCTTTCCTCTGCCCCCTTCCTCCGGTCCCAGATCCGGCTTCGTTGGGCAAAATCTTCCTCGATCCGGGCTTCAGCGAGCCGGAGAAGCGGCTGGTGGATGATTCCCGCGAGTGGCGGCCCACGGAGGAGTGGGAGTGAGGAGGGGACCCAATTGGGCTGCCCAGCACTGGAGTGGAATGGAACGACGTCGTTGTCTTCTCTCCATCGTGCGAGTCCCTTGATGGGCTCTGCACGTAGTACACTGGGCGACGATTGTGATCTGGGGATGAAGGGGCCAAGCTGGTGTCTTCAGAATCAGTTTTTGCATGCATTTTCAGAGGGTTGAAAATGTGTGTCTGAAATTTGGATGCTCTCAGTTTCCACAGTGTCTGTGAGAGGGTGGGGTTTCGCAAATGTTTGGCAGAGCTTATATTTTATCAATAAAAGTAATTTGTAATATCTTACTAGTGATTACTAATGCGTTTTTCATTTTTTTAAATGGGGTAAAATAAAGTCACCGACCAAACATACAAATGTAAATGGCCGAATCTTTTAATTGGCTGTCTCCTGTCAGACATGGAATGCAATGAAAGGTCCGTGACAGCTCCGTTACAGTTGTCATCTCTTAGGCTTTGTTTGTCTTCTATTCCACTACATTCTACCACATTATTTTTTCTACAATACTTATTTTACATTTTTCATCAAAATAATATTACACATAAATAAATAAAAAAATTTCTTTTTTAATTACAAATTCTAACATCAATCACTATTTCATAATACATTACTAACACACTTATCTTTACGTGGAAAATGTTGCATGTGCCATCGACGCTGTCCAACTAGAAAAATTCATTTTACATGTTATTAGTGTAGATTTTATTGCGCATTCGTCCCCAACTTTTGAGCATAATAGCATATTAGTCATCAACCTTTTTTTATCGCAAACCCGTCCCGTCCATTTATTAGCAAAATTCACCGTGATGACTGTTTTAGTTAAGATTTCGTAAGAGTGGAAGTTATCTTTTATGTAATCCTAACAATTTCAGCAATGAAGTTTAGTAATTAATGTCAGGTAGGTGCGTGTTTGTAACAAAGAAAAAGATAGGGGCAGGTCTGCTACTATGCCCTGAGGTTGGGGATGAAATATATAAAATACCTTCAGCATGAAATTTTTAACCACTCAATATTTAAATAAAAAAATAATCTACTAAGCATCAACATCGACTGCATAACACATCAATTTAATGGTGAATAACAAATCTAATTCCAATATTGAAATTCATCTACTTGATAATTATTGTTCATATCATCAGTATTTGATAGATCCTCCTCTAAAGTATATTATTATGATTAAAAAAATTTCTTTGTTAATAATTCCGTGTTTGGGACACTTAATTATTATTATTATTATTATTATTATTATTATTATTATTATTATTATTTGAGAGTTGTTTTAATTCAAATTTTCTACTTTCCTAATCAAGTTAGTCAAGTCAATGGATCATATTTAAATTCTAGATCATCAAAAAAGTTACTAACTTGTTCATATTACTTGATCGCATATCCCAAATTAAATATTTTATTGGATTTCACTAGTAATATCTAGGTATTGTATAAAACTTAATCAACTTACTTATAAAATGATAAATTATTAGTGTCTGGACAAATTGATCAATGCGAATTTATCCATATGAGACTTCACATACATCAAAATTTAAACATGATACGTCTTGATATTTTAATAAATCAGGTTACGACACAACTTGATCTAGGGCAAAGAGATTTATCTAGTATGCTTTATCTTACTCCTAGGTGTAAATCATATAGTCTCAAAATAGAATGAAACAAAATTAAGAGGAAAATGTGTGAGAGGTTCCTCCTACGTGTTGGGTAGAGTTTTTGGAGAAAAGAAGGGGTTTTTAGAAATACTATGGTCGAACCCGACACTCAATTTAGTATAAAATTAATTCGAGTGCCATCAAAGTAAAAGAGGTAAAAGTCTCGAAATCAAAATTTTTTTATTGTTTAGATAAATCAACCAATGTAAATCTCTTTGTACAAGTTGTTACAGTCATCAAATCTTTAACTAAACACAACATGATATTTTTATCACATCAGATGGCGGTACAACTTACACGGGTCTATTTCTTAACAACTTGAAAGTTGTAGTATCCAGCTCACTTACAGTGTAACATGTAGACACAAAATAAAATGAAAATCTTTCAAATAAAATTAAGAGGAAAATGCGAGAGAGGTTCCTCACGTGTTAGGTGCAGTTTTTGGAGAGAAGAAAAGCTTCTCAATGATAATACGGTGGGATCCACAGGAAACGGAAACCACGAGGTAGCTTGTTAATTTCAATGCCTTTTTGCCCAAATACTTATTTTCCTTTGTTCCGCGGCAATGAATATTCTTATTTGCAGTCATGAGTAGAAAGAATGGAGCTTAACCTAAGGAAAAAAAACGTATTTTTCTAACAATCACTATTTTTTTTTCCTAAAGAATATAATCTGAATAATATTGGGTAAATCTGTAGTCTGTTTATATAAATATATATATTGAGATGTTTCATGTGCGGTTATGTCATTTGTACTCATTTCGATACCTTTCTCTTAACAACCCTTAAACGCTTATGAATTAATGTTCACACAAAATATTTACGAACAATACCTACAGCAATAATTCACAAAGAACCTCTCAGTATCTCACATAAAGAAGCCTCTCGATGACAGAGAAGAGATGTAGAAGGGAGATTTTTCTATTTAACCTATCACTATTTATTTTTATGGAAATATTTATATTACTCTTGATGAAATGATTCTTTCTATATTGCAACATATATCCTAATCTTTTAAACATTTTATCTTCTGTTTACTCTATTTTGGATGTTTGAATATAAAATCATTTTATGATCTAATAAATAAGAATAATCCGCAATATGTATATCATATTTTCTTAATAAAATACGATATTCTTCAAATGGTAAATTTGTATTTTTTAATAGAGATATAATATTCTTTATTTCTTCTAATATTCTTTCTAATAAATTATATAATCCTTTAACTGTATATCCTGACATTTATCAAAATAATTATCATACAATTGTCCCTGCGGTTCTTTTAAGATCTTAAAAAGATTCATTCTAATTTTAGCAAAAGTTTAATAATTTTATCTTAGATTTGATCTAAACTTGTATTCTTAGAATCGAGTGACCTTCGAGCTCTAAATTTGTAAACTGTGTCCTTCAACGGCCTCCTGCCTTCACGGAATTGTTACTATTTCAGCTACTTGCTCTCACTGTATCAATTTCTAAAGAATAAAATTATAGACTTCTGTTAAGAAAAACTCTCTTTTTGCTAAAATAAGAAAGAAACTTTCTATTAGATCTTTCAAGAATTTATGGAAAAAAGATTTAGAAACTCATATTGATATCAAAATGTTGGAATTTTATTTCTATTAGGATTGATACAAGACTAATATTTGGTACAAAGGGATTTCTAAAAAAATTGATTTTTTAAACTGAAAATAGGCTATTGCTTACAACTCGAGAATTCAAGATAGGATGATATCATCTTCTTTTATGGTAATATCTCTATTTATACAAGTTTTTTGGGACTCTATTACATCATTGAATACATCAGTAAGGCATACTTGCCTTTCTATTTTCTTCCTTGGGCCTACATCTTCACATGCTGGTTCAACTTTTATATCCAAAGAGCATCTTTTTCTATTATTGCTCTTTATCTTCAATATCTTCACATGTAGTATTATTGTCCTTCATACACCTTTGTCAAAAGGTGCTTTGTCTTCTTCTTTTATTTCTTCACATGCAACTGGAGCATTCCCTTAACTGGCAGGATTCTTTTATATTGGTAGGACATCCTGAAAATTGATGTATATCAAATCTTGTAATATAGTCTTTTAAAATTTCTGATTTTGCATATCCTCCATTGGATACCAACATCTAATTTTCATATTGGCATAAGCACGAGGATTTTTTATCAAACAAATTTTTGGTAATGTTGTAGATGTCTTTAATTCCAAGTGCTTTTCTATGTCTGATCCATGATTTTGTCACTGTTGGGACTTTTCTATTATTTTCTGTAACATCAATTTGGAAATTGGCCGCAACATATCCAATTGAGATTATGTATTCAACTGGATAGTAAACAACTTCGTCATATTCTGGAATAATTGAATAGAATTTTAAAAATATCTTCCTTCCCTTGACAAATCTGGTTACTTCTTAATGAATATGTCATCAAACTTTGAAATTTCAATAAAATATTTTCCTAGATATATCAAATCCATTAATCCATAGTCTGTCATGATTTTTATAAATGAAGGGTCACCTCCTTCCATGATTGTTATTCTGAGGTAAACATTATTTATCGGAGAAATGAAATATGAATCACTTATTTTTATTTCATAAACGATTTTAACTATTTCGGCATATTTTTCTTCGTTTGGATCTAAAGGGATTTTATCTTCTTGGTCTATGATGCTGATTGTTTTGGTATCTCTTTTATCTCCATGTATCATAACTTTCTTGGTTGATGATATAGAAATGGAATTTCCTTTATTATCAGTTGGTATGTTGTCACGTTTGGGTCCAGTGCTGCTTCCAACTGTCCCTATTTGGTATTGATTTGGAAAATTCATTTCTGAGCTCTTTGGTATATCTGTTTCAAACAGTATATTTTTTAGTTGTGCTGCAATAGCATCAAATTGATTTTTGAGTTCTATGACATATTTATGATGCTTAGTAGTGATATTCAACAATATCTTCATATTTGAGTTGAACATCTCTGAGATCTGGGTTGCTCCAGAACTTATATCTTCATATTCTTCTTTAAGAAAATTTGTCATTTCTTGTATATGTAGAGAAAATTCTATGTTTCTGCTGAGAAAATCTGCAAGAAAATTATTAACTCCTTTACTATGGATTATATCAAAATTATGAAATGCTAATTAAGCTTGCTATCTATGAAACTTTTTGTATTGTGATTCTGAGGGTAACTTATTCCTGACTAATCCTGAGAATTATCAGTTTCAACAATAAATTTTCTAGATAATAAAAACAATGAGAACTTTTTTATTCATCTAATAATTGCTAGTAATTCTTTTTCATGAGTAGTATAATTTATTTATGCTTGGTTAAAGGTTCCACTTGAGTATCTACAAATTTCATTAAGATCTGTTTTTAATATTGCTGCCCAATATTTATCTGAGGCATCAGTATTAACAATCAAATTATTTTTTCCATCTGGTAATTTTAATTTTGGAAAATTTTTGCATTCTTATTTTAATGATTTAATTATTTCTGTGTGATATTCATTCCATCCCTTAGTATTTATTTTTCTAAGTAAAACTTAAATTTTATATCTTTTCTTAGAAAGATTTTAAATAAATCCTTCTGCATAATTTAAACA